ATCAGTCGCTGAGTGTTTGATCTTATTCTAACCAGCTATGGATTTAACCTGTTTGGTAAAGCATTTCCCACGAGTGCTGAGGTTTGATTGACAGTCCTTCAGCGGGAACATGAAATTGCTGAAAGATATGCAGTCGCACCTTACACACACACACACATGCAAACATGTGCTTACTCCATCTGGTAAACTCTTACTCTTCACAAAGCGATCTGATCCCTTGAAACGCAAAACTGGTCGGCGTCTCAGAGAGCGCATCGATTTAAGAATGTCTTGAATAGGGCACCTTTGTGCACGCTCGTAAATATGATTGACAGAAGCATGAGAGTTCAAAGACCAGTAGCTGAATACATTCCAGGTTAAGTTTCATTGGATGTTATATTAGGTGGCGCTATTTGTAGACTAAGTATCTGTTTGTCAGTGGTCAGTGGTTTTATCCAATATATGTGTTCCTTGAACAACATGCCTTTCTTTTTGTCTTGGATGAATATTAATATCAAATGTAATAATCTGTACTGTAAACTTTCATCAGATGAGCTAATATAAGGAATACACAGTAGCTATGCCAGCACTGAAATTGGGAAAAGTGTTTTGATTGAATTATGATTGCTTTGATATCAGTTTTCATACTCCACTTTGTCTGAATCTGAGCATAGCTGACATTTCTGCTGAACACAAAAGAAAGTTTGAACACAAAACCACCATGAAAGTATTATAGAAATAGTATATGACTTGTGCACTATATTCCAAGTCTTCTGAAGCCATAAAATAAATCTATTTTTAATTATATTATTAATTTATATTTTAATTATATTATTTTAAATTATATTGTTAATAATTATTAATTACATTCTACATATAGCTAACTAATTGTATTTTTTTAATGATTGTTTCTTTTTCTATTTCTTTTTTCTCTCTAGTTTTCCTTATATGAGAGAAGTAGTAATTGAGTCTCATTGAAGAATTAATTCTCTTAAGTTGGATCTTTTCAATGAATTGGTTGATCCAGTTCACAAAACAAGTACAAGGGTGTGTTTACACTTGTAGTTCAGTAGAAAATTATACATTTACTTCTGGTTTGCTTAGAGTTCACACTGTCATTTTTAATAATGAACATATGGATACAAAACAAAAGGCATAAGGATAGGGTCGCAACCTGATTGGACAGCTTTTATGATGTATATTTTGCAAACTTACTTAACATCCAAAACAATGCTGTGTGCTAGGCTAAATGTGTTTGTTGTACGTGTGTGCATATGGTGTTATTTATTTATTTTTTACCAGCTTATAACTCATTAAGAGCCTATAAAATGTGTAAAGGTGTCCTTTATTGCACACACAAACGAAGATCTGCTGTAAGGAGATGGCAGTTCTGACACCTGTACTGAACTATGACGAGAAGAACCAGATATGCTTGAGCATTTTGTCCTTTTTAGGGTTGCATCTTGTGACATCTCATCCTGTTTTTGCTTTGTTCAGATGTCTTTGGTGCGTGTTGCATTCATATATCAGTTAAACCATACCACAGTTCATTTGGAATCGGACTGAGACCCACCTTTTCCGGGGGTTTCTATTCACTTGTTTGGTCTGCACAAAGGTTTGCATGAGAGTCTATGAGCCGCACTAACAGATCAATCACACCAGTTTGTTTTAATCTAACCAAACCTGCCAAGTGTAAACATGCCCTAAATGATTCATTCACAAATCAGACTAATCTACTTCTGGAGTTCTGGAGTTCAACTCATCAGGTCACAGTGGTCAACTACTTACTGAAGAGGAAATAATAAGTAAATAATGACTTAAATTACTGTAGAGTCTGTTCATCTTCAGATATAGCATTACAGCGTTATTACTATTGGATTCATTTTGAATCTTTAAAGCTTTAGTCTCATTCACTGTTACGGCATTTTAAAGAGCTCAACTTAACTTAAAATGTTCTATTTTTGTGATCCTCAAAAGCAAGAAAGTCAAACAAGTTTGGACTGACAAGAGGGTGACTAAATGATGTCAGTATTTTCAATTTTGGTTGAACTGTTCCTTTAACAGGTTGTGCTTGGTTTATGGATTTAACAAGTACCTCTGACATGGAGTGAGTGGAAACCATTTACGTATTGGAAACATCACATTAACAGATGTGGCTTGAGAAACATTTAATTCAAGGCTGAGCAGAAGATTGGTATCTGTGTGTGTGTGTGTGTGTGCGCGCACACACCTGTGTCCTCATGTCAGTCCACTATTGCTGTCTGAGTAATACAAGCTTTAAATGAATAGTGCCCCGGAATGGGGATGGACGTAATTGCAAATGAAATTGGTTTTGGAATTAGTTGTTCCAATTACATACTTAATAGAAACCAAGGAATGACCAGCACTGGCAGAGGCCAGAGTATTAACACATTTTGCCACTGAGAAATGAAGGAACTGCTCTCAGTGACGGGAGCAAGACCCCTCACCCCCCCTTCCTTCCGTAGCTTTTCAACAGAAACGACTTGTAGTTTAAGGCCTTATGTTTGGAAAAGAATGATTTCAGAGAGTTGCTATTCATGGAAGTAACACTGTGAGCAGAAATTGCATTTTGTAGAAGCTAATAAACATCTTGATGTCTTTTTTGAGTGCTTAATGCAGCCATTGTCTAACATTCAACAAAAGTGTAGTATTATTGATTAAAAATTACATTTAATAACCTCTCTGTGCACTCCAGTGGCTTTCAAGGCAAAAATGTTTATTTAAAAAAACACACAGCAAATGCCATTAAACAATTCTGAATAATATTGTCAACCCATCTTAAAGTAAATGTATTTAAATAAAAGATAAATGCCACAATTCCAGGTTTCATTTTAACCAGTGTCATCCTGCTATAACTATATAAATGCAATCCTGAATAGACTCTGACAAGATATAGTCCAGTTAAATCTAAGATAGGTTTAGATAGGTTAAGATAATCTAAGATAGGTTTAATTATCAGTGTTTCGTTTAAGGAAAACACAACATTTTCTTAATAAAATAATTGCTGGCTCAATATTAACACATTGATCTTGACACTCTAACAGCTCTGAATTTTCATATCGATATTCATCCACTCACTACTGGTTCCAAGCATTTTTCTGCAGGAATTAGAAAATAATTCACCTATAAATGCAAAAATCATTTTCTCATTTATTCCCCTCAATGTTGCTTCCAAACTAAAAATGACAAAAAGTAGGCTGGTCCATGCAACCTTGCTACCAAGTCTTCTAAAGCCAATGTATTACTCTATCTGAGGAACAAACCATATTTTAAGTCAGAGCTCTCAAATATCAAAGTTCTCAAATCAAGATTTGACGTCAAACCATGGCTTTATGCATCTTTCATGTTTGAATAACCACTTAAATTTCATTATGTTCTCATTCAGAAGTCTTGTAATATAGGTACAATATAGTTATAGTTGTAATAAAGTTATTTGAACTTTTTATGAGCTGTCAAGACGTTTTGAAAAAAAAAATCCACAGTAGATAAAAAAAACAAAAAACATTAAGGTTTGTAACAACATAAAATAAGTGAATAAAATAACTACCTTTTGTATCCCACATGAAACTCCACAGCATTACTTATTACGCAATGACAAAAAACTAAGCCTTTCCGAGACTTTCTAAAAAGAGATCTGAAACTTTTTATTTTCAGTGTGACTTTGGAGCATGTATGTTTCTGTCTGATTGGGGGCGCATGGCACCGTGTTTCAGAAGCTTTTCCTTTTCCACGCGTATAGTGTGCAGAAAGGGGAACCAATCAGCGCTCAGCAGGGCGGAGCGGGTGGGACGCTGAATTCAACTTCAAATTCATTCAGCCCTGTTCAAATTATTATTCCAGAGAAGAGAAACTCGAGCGGCTCATTCAAAGCCTTTTAAAGAAGTGTCAATTTCACTTGCATCCGACTACATTGGCCTGACAGGAGCTTTGTTACAGGTTTTTTATTTATTTTTTTCATCTTCGGTCCGGGCAGCAGGTGTTCGGTGTTCATTCAGCCAAACCTCACTGCAAGAGCGTTAGGCGAGGACTTTAATTTAACTTTCCAAAGTTAAGATTTACATCGATTCACTGCAAAACCGAACTTTAAAGAGTAACTGACGGAACAGAGCTCAAACAAATAAAGGTGAGGAGGCTATTGTTTAATGCGTTTACCGTTGCCATGGTGTGAAACCTGGAACGTTCATTTGTATTGACGGTTCAATAACTTGTATTCTTCCGACAGGATAAAATACTCTAAAATATTCCTAACAGTGTTTCTGTCTCACAATTTACAACCACTCCGCTACTGAAGCTACAACACGACACTAGTCCGACCTCGAACGAATGACTCTATATGAGTCGGTTATTTTGAGTGAATCAAAAACACAGAGCGCGTCCAGTGTAATCCGATTCCTAAAGGAGTGACTCTCAAGAGCCGGCTCTTTTTAGTGAATCAAAACATGCAGAGCGACTAGTGTGGTCAAATGATTCCTTGCCTGGTCTTTTTAGTGAATCAGTTATGTAGGCTATCAATCAGGTACTGGATTAATTTGACTCATTTACGGAACCGCAAGTTATTTTTTGTTTTGTATTTCTATTTAATTTTTAGTTAAGTTTGTAAAAGTACCTAATTAAAACATCTCAGTAACACGTTTTGTCCAAGAAATGTATTAAATGTAGGCTATCAGCTCAGAAGTTCTACGAATTAAATCATATTAGCCTACACCGTTCGTAATTTGCTACTCATGACGTCTGCTTTTTCTGTTCACAGGTGTTTATTCCTTTACGAGGATTTATACTGGACGTTCTTTTGCGCCTTGGTTAACCTGTTGGATAGATAAAGTCTTCTGGGTAACATTACACTTAACCAGGTCTGCTCCAAATGGATAAAGGCACATCTAATGAGCACCGATATGGATTGTAAGGGATTCTTCAAGAGTCGCTCAATGCCGTGAAAATGCTCGAAATGATCGGGTAGATAATCAAACTGCGAATAGCCCACGTCAAAACAACGTGGTTTTACAGGAGATATTGACGCTCTAAGCGGATAAATTAAATCCGGTACACTCAAACGTATTAATACTTAACTGGAATCAATACCGAAACATCATGAGCCGTCTCGGGACACAGAAGAGCGGCTCGCGATTACTGAAGGGATGTTCACGGAGCGTGTCGTTAATTTTGGAACAGCGTACGGAGACTTGGTCTTTTTGGTTTGAAGGTGTCGTTTTTTTCAGTGCTAAATGCGCTGATGAGGGTGAGAGCTTCCCGAAAGCCGTGAGACATGAAAGTAAAGCGACCGGGAAAGTCGCGGACTCGGAGCTGAACTCTCCCGCGTGTGGGGTGAATGAGAATCGCCTTGTAAATGTGGTGAAGCGGAGCGCGCACTTTCGGTTTTTCTCACAAACCTCCACATCTGCCGAGGTTATAGATTCCAGCTTTAGCGGGGGTCAGAGCCCTCTTACCAAGGGCAAAGTTAAAGGGATTATTCACCGACAAGGAAATACAAGGAAGGCGATGACGAGGAAAGCGAAGTGCGGGATGTGGGGTTGGATTTTTGCTCTTGTGTTCTTCTGGAATACCCACATGTTGCGCGCTCAAGGTAGGCTATAAGTTTCGAGTTGTGTAGCATAAAACGAGTTTGCGTGACTTTTAATTTCATCCAGGGTTTAAAACATTATTTTGACACGTACATATTTTACCAAGACCTTTTAAGTTATTTTTTTAAAAGTGGATTATAATTATGTCATTGCATAAAACTGTATAGTTGTAACATTATTGTTAATTGTTATTTAAAGATGAGATACATTTTTACATTTAGTGCTCTTAAGGGTTTCAGAGAACCTGAAAGAGAAGAGAATTAGGGGCAGAGAGAAAAAGAGGGACATAAGCTAGAGAGAATGAGAATGGGATGGATTGAAATGAAAAGAGAGACATAGAGGAAGAATTGGGGGACATAGAAAGAGAGATGAACAGACAGAGTGAGGGACACGGAGAGAGAGAGAGGGGTGGGTGATCGTGCCCGTGTGTGTCTCAACAAAAGCGGTAAAGGTATATGCTGTCAACACGCACATTTTCTCAGGTCACACACATGTCGTATTGACTGACCATCAAACTGACAAGTAGAGGGAGCAGGATGCATGAATTTACAAAGTGCATGTGTGTGGAAGGGGAAGGGTGTAAAGGAAAGGATGTAAAGGAAAGATGCTGACACACTCTGAGATTCAGAATTATGATTCAGAGCAGAATTCAGTTAAGCCTTGACTGGAATCGGCTTCATCAGGCTGTACACTGCGTACGGTGCCAGCTGGGTCGCTCTGGTACCCGGCAGGCTGTTTTTCAAGGGGGGGTTACTGATTGAATTAGGATGTTTTAAAGCACAACACAGATTTTGCGTGCCACGCGTGGGAGCATTTCAGTCTTTAAAATGGCAGCAAGATTAAAAGATTCAAAAGTATGATTGTATTGCAAGCGACGTCTCACCGTATTAAACGCATTTGGCATGGAGATGCCGTGGGCTTTTCAGTGTTGGGGCTGTGAAATCCATCTCTTTTTCTTTTAGAGGTTGCATTAATGCAGACGCATGAATGCATTCGACTCAAAACAGTTTACAAGAACACCCACTCCTGTGACTTTTATTTAGCATTGGTGGCTGGCACTTTTTTCCTCTCTCACTTTCTCTGCATGCTTGCAGACTCAGCTTTCTCCCCTGGTTAATGTCAAGGTCTCGCTATGGCTTTGGATGTGGCCCAAACCCCAACCTTAAGGAGGTCAGAAGGTTATTGATCACATCCCATCAGGCAAATGGCAGAAACTGAGTCATCCTGCTTTGTCAAGCATCATACTAGTTTGATTTAATGCAGTGCAGACATCAGTTTTCCCTAATTAAGTTTTATATAAAACCTGAAATCCGTCAAGGATTTGTGTCTGACTGTCATCATTCAAAGCTTCACTTTTGAAGAAATTAAACATTTGTTATTCAAAAGTTATATTTAGAAGCAAGCCACTTGCAAGAAAGAGTCCAATGTAAGATCAACTTCTAAATCACTGTCAAGGTCTGCTCATGGTAAGAATTTGGAGCCTATTATAGACAAAGGCGGAAACCATTAATATTATATTCACAACAAGTATGAAGCAGCATTTCAACATGAAATAACACTAATTTGAAGGTTAACATTTCGTTTTTTTTAATGAGCATTGCCTTCTTAAGATCTGTTTATCGGAGACCAGAATTTTGACAGTAATAGAAAACCTGGAAATGCTAAGAAATGTTAAAATAATTGTAAATGTCATATTATTATATAAATGTCACTGCAAATCTTAAGCATTTAATCTGTAAGAAAGTGCTCTTTTATCCAGTAAACTATGCAGTAATTCCATGCATTGACTAATAAGAGACATACAATTTTAGAAATTCATTGGTCAAGTTGTTGGAACCCTGTTAGACACTTGCTGTTCCATGCAGTTTAATTAGAGCCAGTTTCATCCCGTTTTCCTGTCATGGAACTGTTAATAATACAAGGTACGCCATGTATTTCCTTCCCTTTTCCCTCTAAAAAAGACCAATGTCAAATTCATAGTGAATGAAGAGTCTCGCTGTACGTACAACATGCATCAACAGGTGTCTTTGTGGGTTTTCTTTTAACCCTAAACAGATTTTTTAAAATACTTCAGTCCCAAAAGCTGAAACTTTTGAGAACTGTCACATACCGTCCCAAGTTGTTTGGCTGCGCTCTCTGTATTTATGACTCTTGCCAGGCATGTCCGTCCTGAGTGGCTTTCTGTGTGTATGCTCTCAATGTACGTCAGTGATGAATGTTTGCATTCGAACACTCTGACATCTTGATGCGCCACTGAGGTCCCTCAGAGAATCAGATGAAGAAGAGAGGTGCGAGAGAGATGGGATGAGAGAAGAGATGTGGGCTGAAACAAGCAGAGAGGGTGCAGATGTTAAAGAGGAGTGGAGCGTGAAAAGGAGGAAGCAGTGCAGAAAGAAAAAAAGGGAAGGATGGGATGGGATGGTAGTTTTGGATGGGTAGTCCTCTACGGAGGAGAGCACTGGCATCTCTTTACCATGCTCTTCCTTCACATCCATCAAAAGAGACAGTTTTAGGGTCACTGCGATGTGTATCAAATCAAAAAGGAAAGAAAAGCCTGTGCGTTAGCTAAAGCAGAGGAAGAGAGGAGGGAAAAAGTGGAGTGGAGGAGAACATAATGATGGAGGAAGGCAAAAAAAACAAGAGACAGAGAGAGTGTGTAGGCATGATAGAATGAAATCGAGATTGACGTGATTGCTTGTCTGTGTGTGCGCGTGTCCGTGTGCACGGGCCCTTGCAGGGTCGGCACGGCATGAAAACTGCTCCTTGTGTCTGAAGCCTCTCTCTGTGCCGCTCTGGTCAGATGGGCTTTTGATCCCGGGTGACACACTCCTGCAGGGGCTGAATAAGAACGGCTCAGAATTACACCCAGTGCCACACTCCAGTACATACTGCACCCTTCCCACAATGCCCTGCCATGTTCCCACTGGCACACTCAAGCACCATACTGCCTTCCAACACTTAATGAAACACAGTTGCCATAAATATTCAAATCAATCCTCCACGCTTCACTCTACGGCCAGGCTGGTTGTTTATCTAGACAAAGTAAATCAAGACTCAGTGGTGTTTACTACAGAATACTATTGCTATTATTCAAACAAAAGCTTGGAACTTATATCCAGGACTGTTCGTGTTATAGATATGGGTGATACCTCAAATCATGTGGTTTGTTTAGGAGATTGTTTTTAGCATTAGGCATTGTCGGTGAAAATGTCCAATTAACTTTTTTTGAAGGAAAGGCATTTTCTTCAGAAAATATAAAAATCTAGCTAGACTTTGAAGCTTAACGAAATGCCTGAAATGCTGAAAGGTGCATCAGGTAGGTTAATTAAATGTGTATTTTTCAATGTTCTTATTTGTCTTCCTGAACAAATTTTTCATAGTGATAAGGTGTTGAGGAATAACATTAACGATTAGACATTGTTGGAGAAAAATTACCATTCCAAATTTACATTGAAGGAAGGGCATTTTCTTAAGAAAATGTAAAAATCTTTCTAGGATGAGCTTAATAAAATGGCTCAGATGCTTAAAGGTGCATTACATAATCTAATTAAATGTGTATTTGTTGATTTCATTTGTTGTCCTGAACAACGATGGTATTAGTCTCTCTACTGCCACCTTCGCTACAACATAACTTGACTCTGACTGGAAAATGGGTTCATGTGATTAACCCAAAATGTTCATTAACTTGAATTGCAAGACGTGGATGGTCATGTGATCTCAACATGGAGGCCACCATGAAGGGGCAACCTGAATAAAATGGACTACTGATATGCTTGAATCATCTCATGTAACTTGACCTTATTTTAAACATATTTGTCAAAAATATTGTTCATTTCTTTGGGTGAGTAATGCAGCAAAATTTCAGCAAAAAAAATCAAACAGCAAATGAAATAGATTTTCGGTTTTGGCTGAAATGTTTCTATAGGGTCAAACTCATTTATCGGAACCGTGACGTTAAATTTAGTTTAATAAACTTTTCTGATGACGCAACTATTTCATTACTATAATGTGGATAAGGTACAACAGATAAACATGTCAGCAGTGTGAATGATGCTAGAGTAACAATATATAAAATTTGTTCGACTGAAATATTCAGAGGTGGCTTGTTGCCAAAGAGCTTTAATATGACTTGTTTTAGTACTGAAACGTTATTTTCATTTTTGGACTCTAATTTTAATTTCTTTTTCGGTAAAAAACTAAATGAGTGCATATGATTTAGTTTTAATTTACATCTAGCCCGCCTTGGCTCTCTTCTCTGGATTTACCTTCTTTTACCATGTGTTGCTCCACATTCCTCACACTGACACCCTTAAGGAATTTCAAAGTGGCTTTTTGTGTGACTGTGTGTGTGTTTACGCATGAGTGCAGCGTTAGTATCGGGCCCGAAAAGCCGTTGTGCCTTTATTGTTCCTTGTATTGTCCGGTTGTAGACCCATCCCTCCCCCAGTCGTGACCCAGACTGTGACATTAACCAAAGCCTTTGTGTCTCTTTTATTCTAAAGTGGCCAAATGAGTATAGACCTCTTAATTTCAGTAGTAAATGAAGTAATTTAATTGGTTTACTGCTAACCACTTTTCATTATAGTAATCATCTTGAATGATTAGGAAAAAATAACTTTGATAGTTTGCCGACAGGTGGTCCATTACGAACAACAATATAACTGATCATTGTGCCTTTATTGTTCCTTGTATTGTCCGGTTGTAGACCCATCCCTCCCCCAGTCGTGACCCAGACTGTGACATTAACCAAAGCCTTTGTGTCTCTTTTATTCTAAAGTGGCCAAATGAGTATAGACCTCTTAATTTCAGTAGTAAATGAAGTAATTTAATTGGTTTACTGCTAACCACTTTTCATTATAGTAATCATCTTGAATGATTAGGAAAAAATAACTTCAAATTCACTGTGAAGAATTAAAGAGCTTTGAGGAAATGCTTGGCAATAAACACTTGGATTTAATTCACTCTGCCTGTCTGAACACATCTGCCTTCTGCATTTAAGTAT